TTTCATCTTGTATATCTTTAGGGGATGTTTGGTAGCGCCTTTTAATAGGATTTATCGCCAAATATGCTAGATTCAGCAACACGCTAAAATGCAGTTGTGTGGATTTTTGAATTTTAAGATTTTGGGCTCTGAATTACCCTTAGATTTGATTTAAATTCATATTTATTAAATCAAAGGGTAGGATGGTGATACACTATAACTGGTGACTCACACACGTATGTGTGTCGTATCAATAGAAATCTGGAATTGACTTCCAGATATTGAACCCACATAATAAAATTCAATGAGAAAAAGTTATAGCCTGCGATTATCGGTCTTAGCCTGAAGAATTAATTTGAATGTGTAAAGACAAGCAACTTCCCTTACTTTAATTATGCGAAAAGACTTAAGTGAAAGAATGATTATCCCTTGAAATGAATCATAAAAACCTAGGTTTAATGGAATGACAATGGTTGGAAATTAGCAGGAACAAACCTTATTCTTATCCCCTTTATGTGGAATTAAGAAAGTGATGTAATTTTATTAGCAAGTTCCCTACATCCAGTGAAATCCCTGAAATAAGCATTTCCCTACAACTTTGAGTAACATCTTCATTCTCAAAGTCTAATGAAATTAGTCAAAGTTATTACACTAAGGATAATTCTTTATCACAAAGTTAACAAATCAAGTTCACAGAATAAGCGGTAGGTTTGCATGTAAACAAAAATTGGAAAGATTAGTTTTTCACCGTAACACAACGTTACACAAGTCATTAGAAGCCCTTACAAACTAGAAACTCTATTCATCTGATTAGGAGAAAATCATGAATATTTAGTCCCTAGACGTTCTTGGAAACGCAAAACAAAAACTTTTTTTCATTAAAACAAAAGCAAAATACAAAAGTTTGAGTAAAGAAAACAAACTAGTTGTCTCCCTAGAATGCTCCTACTCAAATATGCTCCATTCCTTCTTCAATTACAATCATAAAATCCCTCACAAGTCTCTCTACACACAGATGTGCTCCTCTCACACCAAAGATTTTCCAACGAAGTCAATTTCTCTCATCACTGTCTCTCTGGAGAGTTTTGAAGATGAGAATAAAAAAAAGAGCTCCTTTCTTTGTGATTTTTTATCTTATATCCTTTATTTTCTCTTCTTGATATTTGTTGGTTGTGGCTCCCCATCTTCTCCTGAAACGCTTAGAACTTACTTCAGCACAGGATTGTTGAAAGAAATGGCGCACGAACGCCATCACCGATAATAAGGGGCGCACAAGCACCCCATTAACTGGCACACAAGCGCCATGTGCTCTCTTTAATGCCTAAGCACCTTCTGCCTGGCGCAATGCGCCAAGCACTCTGGCTCTATTGCTTGTATAGGTGAGCGCTTACGCACCCATAGCTTGTTGCATAGGCACCAAAGTCCCTTGTACCATGAATAAATGAAGAATGAGCTCTTATGTGCCCATAGCTTGGCACATATGTGCCAAGCTCTTTGCTGCTTGTTCAAATAATGAGCGCTTAAACGCCTATTGCTTGACGCATAAGCGTCAGGCTCTCTAGAAATGTTGTGTTCAAAATGCTTGTCAAGAGTTGGTTCTTGTTTACCATTTAGATCATTCGAACTCCTTTCATCCTAGTTTGACATGTTACTTACAAATCACACATAACATATTCGAAAAAAGAACAAATAATATAAATATTAATAGAGTTCAAAACAAATAATTCCACAAATTTACACATATCATGTGGATTTAATAGATTTAAGAATCATAAATTTACTCACTTTTGTTAAGGTGCTCCTAACTTGAAATAAAATGAAGAATCCAAAAAAAAAAAAAACAAAAAAAACAAAAAAACATTTTTTAATGCAAAAACATTTTTTAATGCATTTATCCATTGCATAATCAATTTATCAAATTGAATTTTTCTAAAAGCAAATCTAACGATTTCAACTTCTTTGTGATATTTTATTTTCATGATATTTTAAGATAATATTAATTCATATCTAATCTTCAAGTTGACATTAATAACCCTAATATAATATATCGTTTTAATTAAATCTTAATTAATTAATTAGTCGACGTACTTAACGGGGGTGAAATATAAACGAAGAGCCGACCCTCATCTAAAGTTCAGAAAAGCGCATATTTTAACCTTAGAAAATTAAAATATATTTTATCTTCTTACACAAAGAAATCTTTTTTTTTAATTATTTTCTTAAATGCATAAAAAAACAGGAAACATAACAAATGGGACTTATGGTCTGTTTGAGACAGTTTATTTGGTGCGATGACGTTTTGAAAATGAACCTAGCCTATTTGGGTAAACCGCATTTTGACAGTTTATGCGTCTCCGCACTGCATTTATCTAGGTGCAGTGCCCCAAACAAGCAGCGGTCTAGCTTTTCTAAAAAAAATAAAAATTTACAATAGCTACCGCACCTAGCTTATCAGCAGATTATTCAATAAGCTGCAGTTGCCCCAAACAGAACTTTAAACAATAAAATTATTCAAAAGATTACACTAATTGTCTAGTTAGTATATAAATTACACCCATTACATTCAAGGTTGAGAGCATAAAATATAAATTTGCATTCTCCTTCACAAGAAGATCATACTAAACAAATAAGAGGCACAAGAATACTTTAATAAATGCTGATGGAGGATAAAATCATAAAAATATTATAATATGGGCATATGCATAATTTTTTTATGAAAAAATAATTAAAATATTACTTGCATCATGCGGATTTAATTAAAAAACATGGCTCAAAGTTAAACAGGGCAACTACAATGAGTTCAATTAAAGTTAATTAATTAAGTTTACAAATGATCAAATAAGAGCATAGCAACTACGTTAGGGTTGTAAAAGAATAGAGTTGAATTTGAACGAGCTTTAACTTTTAATAATAAGAAACAACAAGCTTGAGGTCGAGCTTCATTTTACGAGTTCAAGTTGACTTACAAAAACACAAATGTATTATAGGAGAAATTTTTTTATTCAAACTGTTGCTATGATTATAAATACATAAAAATTGATATTAAAGATGAAATAATACAAAATCATTTAATACATGAAAATTAAATAATTTTTTAATATAAAAGTTTTATATTTTAAACTCACTGAACTCATCTCGAAGCCATTTATCAAGTCTAGTCTAAGCCAACTCACTAAACTCTCGAAGCCAAGTATGAGTTGGTTAGATCTTAGCTCATCAACTCACTAAGCTCATCTCGAAGCCATTTATCAAGTCTATTCGGAGCAAACTCACGAATCGATTTGACTGGATTATACCAATAAACAATATTCATGAATATTTCTTACTATTTAAGATGTGTTCTACCAATAAATATGAAGTAATACAAGAGACTATTCTTTTTAGCTAACCTTTTATCAAACAATACAGAAATAAAATTCAAAAAGAGAAACTATATGAAAATCAAGGAATACGTGACCTATCAGCTTCAATTATTACATTCTAAAGAGGCGGGCTTATCTGAAGAACTGTGAAGCTGAGCCACATATCTCAACCCTAAACCACCACCATTACGTTGCCGTTGTGCTTCAGCTGCAAGTTGGAGACCGCCCTTTACAACATTTGACTGACAAATAAATAATTCCACATATAGAAAAGACAAAGTACCACACAATTCTTATGAATTTATATACATGAAATACCCATACTTTCATATTTACATACATAATGTAACGTAAGTAATATATACTATTTGAAATACTTTCGAGTTGTTTGATTAATTGTAAAGTAAACGTAGAATTTTTATATTTTTTGTAAATCAATGTATTTCAAAATATACAATTTATTATTGACGGGAGATGGGTGGCGTCCAGTGATAGCAACCGGCGATTGACGTATTCAACCGCCAGCAGAGGTCTGTGCAACTATGCTGGTGATAACATATATAATAATGAACTAGGTAAATTTGAAAATCGAATAAATCGATCGAACTTTAAATTCAGCCAAAATAAACTAAGATATAAATTTCAAATTCATTCATATTTTACATTGTATTTATATTTCATTGTATTTATATTTCTTCAGACCTAATACTTAATTTTCTAAAATTCTTGCAAAAAAAAATTACAGTGCACTCCAAATTCTTCCAACCAAACAACCCCTAAAACATTTAATATCACATCAAAAATGCCACAATTACTAAGTCATTCATGCATGGTGTTATAAATAAAAACATCAAACTTTAGATGGATAGAAGTGTAAATACATAGGAAATGTGAGCAACATATCAAGCATGTAAAATTTCCCTTAATAAAATTCCTCAAGAAAAATACAAAAATGATGTAATTCAAATTACTCAGAATATATTACACTCATCTTTTTATTTTAAATAATACAAATAAAACCATATAATAAGTAGTCTAAACAAATGCTTATTGCAAAGATGTCCAACCAGAGATGAGTTCTAAGCTAAAGGGAGAGACATGAATTCTCCTGGCAAGTTCATTCTAAGTGGACGCATTGTTTTAAGTGGTTTAACTCTCCTGACGAAAATTGGCATCAAGTGTTGACTCCTCATTGAATCCGGTCATAACCAATAAAAAAAATTGCAGCTTTGGTTGATCAGAAAAACACTAAGCCACATAATCTAACCGGCTTGCAACCAAATGAACTTTTTTTTTTATATCTATAGTCTATTTCCTCATATTTTAACAGGCCAAAGAATTGATTTAAAATAGTAGATTTAACAATCAAAACATAACCCAGTGGCCAGTATTCATGTATAAGTTGACTTCAATTTCATCAAAATCGAAAACTTTTTACTTGTCTACTTCACAAATCTAAGCCACCTGATCCTGGAAACTAAAGTGCATGACAGGTACTTTTATTATTATTATTTTTTTAATTTTTTAGTTGTTTTTTGTCAATTTCCTCATCAGATATATATCAAAGCAAAATAAATAAAAAATAGAGATTCAAGTTGGAAGCACCAACCCAAAAGAAAAGGTCTAATTAATAAAATGAAGAATTATCAAATATTATAGTTTAGGACAAACAAGACAAATTCATTTTAAATCATTTCACCATGCTGTATAAAGTAACTTGTGAGATGAGATGGGGATGGAATTTGTTGAATGAGTCATTCAAACACACCAGACTGACTTTGAAACATATTTATATCTCTCCTTGGATGTTAAATTCAACAAAAAAAAATCACATTCCAACCAGAAAAGAGCCTAAAAGCTCTTCATCTTTTTATGTTCCTTAGAAATCACAGATAAATTTATACCTGATTTCAGAATCCCCCAACACACTCACAGAGCAAAAGCTTAGCTTGATCTTCCTTCTTCAATGGATTCCAAACTGCACCTGTTTGTCGAAAAAATTGAAGATTTACCTGCGGATAGCCATGGCTGCAACATGATTGCAAAGGTGGAATGGAGAGGAAGCCAAAGGAAAGCAGGATTTTTGGCAAGAGAATTTGAAAAGAGCTGTACAGGGGAACAGAAGGTGCAGGCAAATGGCAGTGTGAGCTGGAATGAAGGATTTGATTATACTTGCAGGTTTAAGAGAGACAGGTCTGGAATTTGTAAGAGTTGGATCATTGCCCTCCATATAGAGGTAAGATAACCATTGATATTTCAACCTTTTTTATTATTATTTTTTTCAGCATATAAATTTTGCTACTTTTTTAAATCCCTATGGTGCCCCTTTTTAGGCTAAATTCTGGGAGAAATAAAATTTGAGAGATTTGCACCATCTATCATGCCAAATAATTTTCAGGATTTACTTAAATCCTACTTGTGGTCAACCAGTGCCTTACAGTGTTTCTGTTTGTCTTAACAGCAAGTTCAAGAAAAAGCAAGAGAAAAGAAGAAAACTATAGGCAAAGCAAAGGTGGATGTCGCTGAATTAATCCAATTTGAGAACAATAAAACCATCAAAATTGCAATCAACCGCCGCTCCATTGGGCATATTGCTGAGACGATGCTAACGGTAAAATATAAAATCCATAGTTATGTACACAAAACTACACATATCCTTCTTTGTCCAAAATTCTAATCACTCTTATCATTCAACTTCATGTTTCAGGTCAAACTGCAGCTTGTCAAACTAGAATCAAAAGATAAAAGTCAAGTAGCCCTTACTCGAGCTCTCAGTCCATACCCCTTCTTCTTCAAACCTAAACCATACTCTACCAGAAAATTTCAAAGCTTCAATCTTTCCCACAACCAATCCATAAATCTACCAGAAACAGATGCCACATCTCATGACAATGAATCTAGAGCAGATTCGCTGACGAAGCAAAAGCGAAGCTCTATGCTACTTTGTTTGAGCACAACAAAGCGAAGCAACAAAGGAATAAGACACACCAAAGGATGTGCCAAAGATGAGGATGATATTGACGATTATCTCCGCCGCCAATCATGTGTTCACTTCCTAACAGCATTCAAGAAAACAAAAGTGAGACCAGAGGAAAATTTCAAACCTGGTAAGTGGGAGAGGAAAAAATTAGTTAGCAGAGATGAAAAAATCGAACTTGTGACCGATGTTTTTCTTGCATCCATTGATCAGTGCAGTAAAAAGGCTGCGGGTGGCAGTGCTTGCACTGTTCTTGCAGCAATCATTGCAGACTGGTTGCATAAAAATCCAGAGTCTCTACCATTGCAAAACCAGTTTGATGAACTGGTACTCAAAGGATCATTGGAATGGAGGAATCTATGTGGTGAAGAGAATCACAAGGCAAAGTTTTCAGACAAGCATTTTGATCTCGACACAGTTTTGGAAGCGAAAGTCAGGTCATTGATGGTAGCCACGGAGAAGTCATATGTGGGTTTCTTTAGTATGGATGAAATGCCTGAAGGTTTTGATTGGTTGCAAGGAGAGATGTGTTTTGACAACATATGGAATAACATACTATGTGTGGATGAGACAGACGAAAGAATATATATTGTAAGTTGGAACGACCATTTCTTCGTTCTAAAGGTAGAAAGGGAAGCCATTTATCTGCTTGACACATTGGGAGGGAGGTTAGCAGAGGGATGCAAACGAGCATACATTTTAAAGTTTGATGCAGAGAGTGCAATTTACAGGCGTGGTGAGGATGGGAAGGAAAGCAGAAATTCTCAGGATTTGGTCAGTGAAGGAATTGGCTGTTGTAAGGAATATATTAAGGGATTCCTCTCAGCAATTCCACTTAGAGAACTCCAAAAGGATATTAAGAGAGGACAGGTGAAACAGGAGCTTCTGCACCGCCTGCTGCAAATAGACTTCCACTGCACCACTCCTTGCAGCAGCAGGAACAGCTGAAACTGATGAAGCAGAAGGATGGGAAAAATATCATAAATTGTTTTGGTATTCATCTTCACTAACCATATCTTTAAAGTTTTGTGGCTTGGCTTTGTTAATTCTTCTTAATTAGTTCCTCCTTAAGT